AGCACGAGACCGCCAAGAAGAAGAAATATCACTCGGCCGTCTGCGACTCCCGCGTGACCTTCTGCCCTCTGGTGGTGACGTGTGACGGTGTGTGGGGACACGATGCCAACGTGTTCATCGCCCACATGGCTCATGCGCTGTTGGAGAAGGAGGGGTGGAAGGGTCGGGGGTTCAGTCATGTGTCTGGATGGATTCGCTCTCGCTTGTCTATCGCCCTCGCGCGTGCGACTAGCTACTGTCTGCGTGGGGGAGGGAGGGGAGGGTTTGCGGGACTGGGGTGTGCTGATGGGGCGGGGATCGATCCCTCCTCCCCGTGAGCGTTTGACTCTGCGTGCTCATGGGACTGTATGTTTATGAGTATCACGGACACACAGACGAGTGTTACGGTTAATGCAAGTTTCCCAAATTCCCAATCAATCAACAAATCAATCAACTATCTTCCTCAATTTTTCCGGTGTCTCCGTGATGTGCCGAGCGTGTTTTTCGGCACCAGAATTGGCATTTTCCACGAGCAAAAACCCGGTGACCCACCACACACACCCCCATCTCCTTTTCTAAGACATCCCAAACCCCTCAAAAAATCGAAGGAGTAATTTCAAAAATTCGCAAATAACAATAAATAAACGGGGAGTGAAAAAAAAAAAATCAAATCCAAGGGAGGAGGCTTGCACGAGGTGACAGATCTGTGCTTTCTATTGAGTGGCTTTGTGCCCCTTCAAGGCCCAATTCGCGGACATCTTATGTAGTTGCCAGCAGCGCTTCCTTTTTCCGGTGTCAGCCGGATTGTCGAGAAACGGCAAGCGCGCGACAGGGATCCTTCCCGCTTCTGTAGCCTCGTAGTGTTATGGTGGTCTTTTCTGCAGGAGGGAGGTATACGCTGGGCATCAGCCTCGGCATGCTGTGCATGTTGAGTCCGCCTGCGTCAGCGCTCGAAGTGATTCAGAAGCGGTTTATCGTGGAGGGTGCCGTTAGGCCGTACGGCGACGGACAGTATGAGTACATCCATCCTCGTGCAGATGCACTGCACGTGTCGGAGTTGACTTGCATCGCCATCAGAGAAGGCGCAGAGGTCATTCCTGCCGACTTGTACAGCCTCTTCAACGTCACTGGACAAGAAAGTGGCCTTGTCAAGGGAACGGTTGTGTTGGCCCGCGACAACAACACAGTAGTCTTCTATGCTGGCCGGCCGTTCGTCACAAACGAGAATGTCACCGTCAAGTTCGGTCCCGGCCTGCGCGTGCGACGCTTTGAGAATTTCACTGAGCGTCAGGCAGGCCCCTACGAATGGAGCTTTCGGATACGAACAAAGTACAAGGCAGCGAGCGTGCCAGCTAAGTTCGACTATTTGGATCGGGAGAACGAGCAGCCAGACGAGCAGGAAGGGCTTAAGGGGCCCACACCGATGGATCGCCACCGCACACTGCCAACATGGGCTGCAAGGTTGAAGCCATCTCCCGAGGGCGAGAAGGCCGCCGTGGACGAGAAAAATGATGCGACTGGCGCAGAAGGAGACCTCTATTTTTTTGGTGTCGGGCACGCAAGGGGAGAACATGCAGGCCAGCATATCATCACTACACGTGAGGCAAACAAAGTGAAGAACACGTGTTTGTAGATTCTTTAAGCTCAGCGCGATGTTAGCAGCCCATTGTTGTGGAGGAGGGCGCTTGTGCCTATTGTCATGTATACAGGGTGACTTAGTATGGTGGACCCAAACGTCTACGTTCGCGGCGGGTGTGCTGGGTGTGGCGCCGACTGGCCATGTGGCAGTGTGGGACACTAGACCTCAAGACACCAGCCTGAAGGCATACGAGCTCAACTCCACATACCAGGCTGTCGCCAGGCACAATCCTGGTACGCAAATGGTGAGCTCCCAACCTTGGTCACTTGCAGGTTCATCATTTCAGGCCATGGATATAGATTAGACGGCCATAGTATCTTTTTCGATGATGGCAACACGATTCTGGCAGCGCTTACCAGAGCCAACGGCATCATACATAACGGTGAGACTCTTCGGTCTTTCCGGGTACACGTCTTTCCTTTTTTTTTTGTCTGCAGTGGTGCAGGTTCTGCTGCACTTCCAACCTCAACCGCTCAACCTGCATCAACACCCACCCACCCGCAGACACACACACACACACGGTCCCATGCGCACGCAGGAGTACCTTGCCCCTCCCTCTCTCCTTCTCTCTCTCTCTCTCTCTCTCTCTCTCTTTCCCTCCCTCCCTCCCTCCCTCCCTGCCTCACCTCACGCTGCAGCCCCTCGATGCTGTTCGGGTCTCCCTGCCCCTTCCCCACCCTCCTGAGTTTCTTCGCCGCACCGGCGGCTACCGCATGGCCTCCCCCCCCGCCCTCCTCAGCGTCCGCAGCTCCTGCCGCAGGTTCTCCCGCAGTGGCCAGACCCCGCTTCCGTGAGGGCGACGAATCGTCGGCGTCAGCGTCATCAGCAGCGGCAGCTGGCGCCCCAGGCTGCTTTGCGTACACACCAGGGAGGGGAGGGGGAGGGAAGGGGCGAAGGGGAGGGAAGGGGGGAGGGGGAGGGGGGGCAGGAGCCGCCGCCGCAGCAGCAGCAGCCGAGGCCGAGGCCGCAGCAGCAGCAGGAGGGGCGGCTGCAGCGCTCCGCTTGACCCGATCCGAGCGCTTGAGCTTGTCCTCCCACTCCACATGGCGAGTGGGGACGTAGCAGGGCATGACGGTGCCGTCGCACTAGTGGCAGGTGCACGTCTGGAACATCGGCTGCTCCTTCCTGACCACGCGGACGTTCCTGTAGCTGCAGGCCTTGATGGTCTCGTAGTCGGTCTTGGCCTCTGGGATCCTCGGGTAGCTGCCCACCCCGATCTCATGCTTGTCGTGGGCGTAGTAGTAGAGCTCGTAGAACTGGTGGAGCTCCCTCTTGCTCTTGTGATCGTCGCGGGACCAATGGATCTCCCGGAAGGTTGGCATGGCATCGCCCACCCTCCACATCGGGACGGCAGGCTTGCGGCTGGCGGGCTGCTTGGCCATGGCGGTGGCTGCAGGTGGCTGAGGGCGCCTGCGGCTCGTGTGGATGGGCGGAAGAGGCCGCGAGCTGTGAGAGCAGGAGGCGCACGAACAAGGGGGGGCTGACTCGGGGTCTGCAACGACGCGATGGTGTCAGGGGGTCACACAGACTCCACACGCGCTGTGACGGGGCGTGGGGAGGGCAGACTGGGCTGTTTCAGGGGTCGATCGGGGTCGATCGGAGCTTTGCAACGAGCGTTCTCGGCGCAGAGGCGACGCACGGGGCTGAAACTTTGCGTGCGGAGAGAGGTGAGCCTGAGGCCAAATCTGCTTCGTTGCACACCCCGGTGCGTGGAGTGGGCTTGGAGCTAGAGGGGGTTTTCGGGGCTGGAAGCTCGCTCGGCAAAAATGCGCGATCCGGGGAGACCAAAGTGCTCGCCGCCTGTGTATGAGCTGTCTTTGAGACGAGCTGTGCCTAGTGAAGAACGATATGTGAAGTGATTGTCTGTTAGTTGACGATTTGGATGGTAGGCCTCGTATGGGGTCATGCTGCGTCCGTCAGCGGGGTGGGTGAGGGGTTTGGAGGGCGTGCGGTTCATCAACCACACGGCGTGGCCGACTGCGTGCGGCCACAGCTTGTCGGGCATGCCGGACATCGACACCAGCTTCTTG